TTCTACCGCCCTTGGAAGAAGTTACCCCCACAATCCCTAACCGATGCCTTGGAGTCCTCTGAACTCCTCTCCCTCTGGCCTTCAACCCTCACCGACCCCTCTTCTCCTCTCTCCCTCCTCCACAATACCCTCTCCTCCACACTCGATACTCTTGCCCCCATCACTTCCCGCACTGTCTCCTACTCCCGCTCCTCCCCCTGGTACACCACCCACCTCCGCTCACTGAAAAGCCAGGTGCGGGCTGCTGAACGCACCTGTGTCAAATCTGGCCTAACGGTCCACCGACAAATCTGGCTGGACCTCCTCAAAATTTACCGCTCCACTCTAGCCTCGGCCAAGTCGTCCTTCTACTCCAGGATAATCCTGGAGGCGAAGAACAACCCCAGGCTACTGTTTTCCACCACAACCCGACTCCTCCGTCCCCCCCGCCACCCCGCGCAGGTCATCTCCTCCAACCTTCACTGCGAGGAGATGCTGGATTTGCTTGAATCCAAGATCAAGGGAATCCGCTCCGCGGTCACTTCCCCTCCAACATCTACCAACCCCCACCCCCTCACTCCCACACTCCGACTCCTACCCATCCTCCCCTACTCACTTTCGTACCCGTTTCCCCACCCTCTGTCACTAAACTCATCCTATCCCTAAAACCAACCACCTGCTCCCTTGACCCCATCCCCACTCCACTCCTTATCTCCCAGCTCCACTTTCTTGCCCCACATATCACTGACATCATCAACCTGTCCCTCTCCTCTGGCTCTGTCCCCATTCCCTTAAAAACTGCCACCATCACGCCCACCCTGAAAAAACCCTCCCTTGATGCGTCGCAGCTATCAAGCTACCGGCCCATCTCCAACCTCCCCTTTCTCTCCAAGGTCTTGGAAAGAGTTGTCGCCTCCCAACTGCGCTCTTTCCTTTCCACCCATTCTCTTTTCGAACCCCTTCAGTCAGGTTTCCGTGCTGCCCATAGCACAGAAACTGCCCTGGTCAAGGTCACCAATGATATCCTGACCATCTGTGACCAGGGCTCCCTCTGTCTCCTCGTCCTCCTCGACCTATCGGCAGCATTCGATACGGTCGACCACGCTATCCTACTCCACCGCTTGTCCTCCCACCTCAACCTTCAAGGCACTGTCCTTGAATGGTTTAGGTCGTACCTTTCTCACCGTCTTCACTTTGTCTCGACGAATGGCTTCTCCTCCACCCCCCGTACTGTCTCATGTGGTGTCCCTCAGGGCTCTGTCCTCGGTCCCCTCCTCTTCACCCTCTATATGCTCCCCCTCGGTGACATCATCCGCAGACATGGAGTTAACTTCCACATGTATGCGGATGACACCCAACTCTACCTTTCCTCCTCTACTCTCAACTCCACGACCACCGATGTCCTGACAGCTGCCTGTCCGACATCGAGTCCTGGACGAGAGACAACTTTCTTCAGCTCAACGTGCGAAAAACCGAGGCCCTCCTGATTGGCTCACGTCAGCGCCTCCGCACCTCAGGCGCTGACACCATCAGCATCCAAGGCTGCACTCTCCACCTCTCAAAGCCAGTCAGGAACCTCGGCGTTTTGTTCGACCCTGAGCTGTCCTTTCTCCCTCACATCCGCACCACAACTGGCACCGCCTTCCATCACCTCCGGAATATCGCCAGACTACGGCACTACCTCACCCCTCACGCTGCTGAAACCCTGGTTCACGCCTTTGTCACCTCAAGGCTGGACTATGGGAACTCTCTCCTCGCCGGCCTTCCCGCCACCTCCCTCCACAAGCTGCAGGTCATTCAGAACTCTGCAGCTCGTGTACTGTCCCGCACCAGGCTTCGCGACCACATCACTCCCACCCTCGCTCGCCTCCACTGGCTCCCCATCCCCCAGAGGATTGATTTCAAGATCCTCATCCTCACCTACAAGGCCATTCACGGCCTTGCTCCCTCCTACCTCTCCAACCTACTATCCCCCTACCTACCTGCCCGTACCCTCCGTTCCTCTGGCTCCGGTCTGCTCCACGTCCCCCGCCCCAACCGCCCTACCATCGGTGGTCGGGCCTTCAGCCTCTCAGCCCCGAGGCTCTGGAACTCTATCCCCAGTGCCTTCGCCGCTTCCTCCCTTTCCTCCTTCAAGGCCGGTCTCAAAACCTTTCTCTTTGACCTTCAGCCTTCAGCTCCCCTCTCGACTCTCTTCCCCCTCCTCGCTCCCTCCCTTCCCTCTCCGCACCCTGACCATTTCCCCCCTCCTCGCTCCCTCCCCTCACCCTGACCATTTCCCCCCCTGCTCGGGTCATGACCCAACTGTGCAGCGCCTTGGGACGTCCTTCTGACGTGAAAGGCGCTTTATAAATGGAATCTTGTTGTTGTTGTTGTTGTTGTGTGTTTCTGTGAGTGTGCGTTTGTGTGAGTAAGTTTGTGTTTGCGTTTGTGTTTCTGCGTGTATGTTTGTGTGTGAATTTGTGTGTGTGTTTCTGTGTATATGTGTGTCTGCGTGTTTGTGTCTCTGTGCGTATTGACTCTGAGTCATGTGTTTGTTTGTGTGTGTGAGTAGGTGTATTTATGTGTGTCTGTTTGTGTGCTTGTGTGAGTTTTTGCGCCTGTATATTTGCTTGAGTGTGTTTTTGTGTGTGTCTGTGTGCACATGCTTGTCTGTGGGTCATATGTTTGTTTGTTTGTGTGTGTATATGCATTTATGTGTGTGTTTGTACGTATGTCTGTAGTTGTCTTTGGGTCATGTGTTTGTTGTGTGTGTGTTTTTATGGATGAGTGCTTGTGTGTGATTTTATTTCTATGTGCTTCTGTGAGTGTTTGTGCGTGTGTTTGCGTGTGTGTTTTTTCGAGTGTGTGTTTTAGCGTGTATGCGATTTTGTGCGTATGTGTTTGTGAGTATTTTTGTGAGTGTTTATGTGTTTTTTGCGTTTCTGTATGTATTTGTTTGTGTATGTGTATACCTGTGTGTATTTTTTGTGTGTATCCGTGCATGTTTATTTATGTGTGTGTTTGTATGCGAGTTTGTGTTTCTGTTTGTGTGTGTTTGAGTGTGTGTGCAGGTGTGTGCGTGTTTTGAGTTTGTTTTCGTGCACGTTTGTTTGTTTCTTGTGGTTTTTCTGTGTGTATGTGTGTGCTTCGGTGTTTTTTATGTATGCGTGTTTGTGTGAGTGTTCGTATGTGTGTGTTTCTGTGTGTGTGTGTTTGTGTATGCTTGAGTGTGTTTCTCTGTGTGTGCGCGTTTGCGTGACAGCATTTGTGTGTATGTGTGCATTTGTTTATTTGTGTGCATATGTGTATGTGTATGTGTTTCTGTGTGTATCCATGTTTGTGTGTCTGTGTGTGTATGTGTGTTTCTGTGTGTGTGTGTTTGTGTATGCTTGAATGTGTTTCTCTGTGTGTGCTTGCGTACGTATGTGTGTGCTCGTTTGCGTGACAGCGTTTGTGTGTATGTGTGCATTTGTTTATTTGTGTGCATATGTGTATGTGTGTGTTTCTGTGTGTATCCATGTTTGTGTGTCTGTAGGTCCTGTCTGTGTGTGTGTGTGTGTCTGCGTGTGTGTGTATTTGTTTCAGGGTTATGTGTTTGTTTGTGCGAGTGTGAGTAAGTGTGTGTGTGTGCACTCCTTCAACCTGTATGGCATCACAAACCTGTGAGTGACAGTGGGTTATACACACTGTGTTTACTCTGATCCCTGTTATATATCTGTGTCTCTGATCTCCAGACTGCACAGTAAAAATCTGACAGCTGATTGTGCCGAGGATCTGACCTCCGCTCTCAGCACAAACCACTCACTGACGGAGCTGCACCTGAATAATAATAATCTGGGAGATTGTGGAGTGAAGCGACTGTGTGAGGCTCTGAGGAACCCGGAGTGTAAAATACAGAAACTGTGGTAAGTAACACACTGTGTCTCCAGAGTCTGAATGACTCCAATATCTCAATGTGTTTATTGTGACTGTCTGATCAGTGCGGCTGAATATTGTGACAGGAATCGGTGTGACAGTGTGAGGCCACAAGCCATCTTTTGCGTCAAACACTCAACTTGTGTTAAAGTCTTTCTGTCTGTGTGTGTGCATATATATCTGTTGTTAGAAACATTTGCAACTATCTCCAACAACTTTAGAATGATCCGAATCCAGATCAACGATTGGTTGAGTTAAGACACTTTATTGTTGTGTGTATGTGTATATGTACATAGGTGGATGTATGTTTTTTTAATTATGTTAACATGCGTGTGTGTGTGTGTTCACTCACTGTGTGTTGTATGTGTGTTCGCTCACTACTGCAACCTATCCTGCTCAGACATACATGATGTTGGGACTCCCTCACTCATCCTGAGACGTTGATCTCATTTAGGTCAACAATTTCATCCATATTCCCAACTGACTTTAGCTCCCGGATGGAAATATTTGTGGTGGAAAAATCATGACCTGAGGTAATTTGTTGTTGGTATTTTTACAGTTAAAAGGCCTGTGCTAAACCCTCAACCAGAATAAAGTCTACACAGCTTTAGCCCTGAGTTAGCCTGTGTCTGCTCACACACTGCAGGCTGAGCCCTGTAGCTCAGTGGTTAGAGCCCTCGCCTCGCGAGCGAGAGGGCCTGGGGGTGATTCCTGACAGGGCAAAACCTTACGGTTGTTTCCTTACTCCACTGGTGTCTGATTGCCTCGCAGTCAGTCACAACCCGGTTGTTAGACGATTCGCAGATCGCGTCTCCAGGCTTATTAATCCCTGCAAATAAATATTTCATACAATAATATACATGCACTATACTTTACAGTATATCCTGTCAAAAGCTTTGAGGCGTCTCCAAGACATGATGAGGCACTGTATCAAAGTTCAGGATTATTATTATATTACATATTATATCTGGATAGTGAGAAAACACTCTGAGGCCCCCTCGCTGGGGGCAGCGACTGTCTGAGGGTCGTTTGCATCTCTGTATCCGTTTTAGCGTCTATCGCCTCTTTCTTCCGTGGGTGACGGCCTGTAGTGAGTGACAGTGGGTTATACCCACTGTGTTTACTCTGATCCGCCGCCTCATACAGACCTGCACCAGTCTGGAGAGGATCAGGTAAGTGTTTGTGTCAGTGTTTAATGTGATAAACACACAGAGAAAGGGCTGTGTATCAGAATGGGAACAGTTTGAAGGGATGTAATTATTAAACTGCGACATGAAAAGTTTACAGTTTGTATCATTATCCCATGGGTTTAATTCCTGTTTAATGTGTTTCAGGCTGTGGGGGAATGGGTTCAGTTCAGACGGAGAGAATCAGCTGCAGTCACTGCGGGGAATCAGATCTGGGCTGTCAGTGACAGTGAGATTTGGACTGAGTCAGAGACCGACCACACAGTCTGTGTAACATGAAATGTATTCTAGACACTGTAGTAATTGATTATTAAAGATGATAATCCTGATTCCTCTCCCATCCCTTCTCTTGGGATCGTTATTGTCACATAAACCCTGACACACTCCTATCCCATTGCACGCTTTCTTTTTTTTACCTTTACTTTCTCTCTCTTTCTCAGTCTCTCGCTTTCTCTCTTTCTCTCTCAGTGTCTCTATCTCTCTCTTTCTCTCTCAGGCTCTCTCTCTTTCAGTCTCTCCCACAAAGCAAACAATCACTATATATTATAATATTCGCAATTATGAACACAGAGACACCGTCACATCCACGTACACACAAACACATGCACACACACCGACACACACATGCACACACATAAACCCAGTCATGGACACAAACACACAGGCATACACATTCCGAGACAAACACAGACATAAATACAGACACACACATAGATACACACCCAGTCGCACAGAGACACACACACAGAGACACAAATTGAAACTCGTACACAAACAGCAACACACACCTACAGATATACAGACAAGCGCGCGCATAAACACTTACACAAAGAGACATACACAGGTATACTCGCAGACACACACACACACAGCTGAATTTCCGTTTAACTCAGCGACAAATGTATTTGAGATAAAAGATTCAAAGGAAAACTGAACAAATCTCTGAAGCACAACAGATGCAAACCCAACAAATAAAGACACATAATTTACTTTAAACCCATTTGAACATTTGAACATTGACTTAAAACAAAAAAAAGGTTTGAGTAACGCACTTTGCATTACGCCGTGTGTGTCTGTCTGTCTCTGTGCGTCTCTCTCTATCTCTCTGTCTCTGTGTCACTCAGTATCTCTTTGTTTGTCTATGTCTGTCTGTGGGTCTATGTGTCTGTCTCTGTGTCTCTCTGCCTCTTTGCCTCTCTCGGTATGTCTCTGTTGGTGTCACTGTCTGGCTGTGTTTATGTGTCTGTATCTGTATCAGCTAACCCAGATCCCGTCGGCTGCCACCGATCCAATGATCAAAACGCCCCCCCGGAGACATCAGATAGTTCAACCTTCAGCCCCAAGGAAAGAGGTAACAGGAGCACACGGTCCGCTCCCCGAGACCAAACCCATGAATGAGCCATTAATTTCGGCCCCACACCCCACCAGCCAAGACCAGGGAACCGAAGATTTCAGGTAGACTTACTGAGCAAAACCTTACCAACCCACTGCCCTCCACTGCGTAGCCCTCCCGCCCCCAACGCCCTCCTCCCCTTCTGACCTCTGCACGATTTAACCGCGACGCCGGGAAGTTCTGATCCAGTGTCACCTCTCTTTGTAACGGATGGGGTATGATGTCGACGGACACGGTCTCTGTCCCCTCTCTCTAGCACTTCCGAAGCCTCATCTCCCCCAGAATCCCAAAGCCGATCCTCCCAACATCGCTTCCCGGTCACAGGCAGAGCAATGGGAACAGTCCTATTCCCACCCCACCAGTTCCCCACTGCCAGTCCTCGCCTTTATCAGCCACAGACTGCAGCACTCTGGCTATAAATATAGGGAGAATGCCCCCTGAAAAACATCCCATGGCGTTCAGACGAGAGTGGACTGCTTTCCTGTAGCGACACCCCGAGCTGGACAGTTTGGAGCAGGTCGGAGTGCTGCTAAAAGCCATTGACCCCGAACTACACGGAAGGCTCCCAACGGATGTATTTAAAATGGGAACGAGCGCAATGTATGTGAGAAAGCAGATAGCACAGGCGTCAGGGATTAACCCGGAATGCGTTAATGCCGACAAACCCCCTCTGATCAAGTATGGGTGTGCAAAATCAGCTGCTGTTGAGACCATTAACGGACAAATCTTGCAAGCAATAACCTATACTACGGGAATAGCCTCCCATGCGAAACAGATACTATTAACTCACTGAAACAACAGGGTATCATTCGAGAAGGTGCATTCACCACCAACTCGACCATATGGCCGGTACCAAAACCGGATGGGAGTTGGAGATTAACAATTGATTACCGACAACTCAATGAAGTTCCACCGTCCTGTTCCCCAGTGATCAGTGAATCCCCAACACTGTTGGCTATTCTACCAAGACACGCCTTTCTTTTCTCCACGTTAAACATTTCTAACGGCTTCTGGATTGTCTCCTTCAGAGATGAGGATCAGTTTAAATTTGCATTCACATTTAAAAAACAGCAGCACACCTGGATATGCACACCCCAAGGCTTCCATTCTCCCCGACTGTCTTTCACAAACGAGTCGCTGCTGTTATTAAAAAAGGGCGTGAATTCTGAATATGTGTTTCAGTTTGTGCATCCATTTTACTTGCAACTGCTGACTACGACACTCACATTCAAACATTGACCGAAATACTGAACCGACTGGCTGCAGCAGCACTGAAAATTAACCCCAAGGAAGCTCAGCTGCGACAAATGACTGCAACTTTTCTCAGAGTACGACTGCCTCCTAGTACGATGGACAACACTCTGCCTCTGTTACCCCCTTATCAGTCGAATTCTTCCGGACGACTGATGATACACCACTTAAACACCAACCACTGTTGCAAACGATTTGGGAAACCCCCTCTCAAAGACTCCTTTGCACCTGGGAAAAGTTAAAGGACATTCAAAGGTATTGGCATCCCAAACCCATGGGAAATCGGATGCAGACAAAGCTGCAAAGTATGCGGACAGAACTACTGCGATGTGGAAAACATCCCCTTTCTCGGTCCTCGAGGTCGCATCGTTGGAAAAGATTCCTTCTGCTTTGGACACTCGATCTTTACAGACAACAAACCAACCGTATGTTGGTGTGTTATAATTGCTCAAAAAGGCAAACCATCTCCTCCTCCGGCTGGCTGTGACTGGGCCCCTTTGACGATGACATCCGAGACAAGTAAAGACTGGATTCCTGAAACAATTTTAATGTACTCGCTCCCAAACAATATCCCAGTTGTTTGCGCACCCCCAAGCCTGCAAGAGGAAACATTGATAATATTTCACACGCACCCTACATCTGGTCACTATTCTGCAACCGTTAATTTTACGTAGTAGTTGTAGACGACATTGAGCAGCACACCCACCGATATTTTGTATGTTTGCAGCGTAATCCCTCTCCTCGAGGACAGTGAGCGTTCTTTAAATTGTCACCACCCAACCCATGGTCCTTGGACCCATAGGCAGATGGATTCGAGCGGACCATTACCAATGGAAAAGGGAAGTTTTAAGCGCTGTCTTTGAACACTAGTAAAATTTACAAAATGGGTTGAGCCTTTTCCCACTAGGAATAACACTGCGATAACAGCAGCCCGGATCCTCTTGTGCGAAGGGATGTGCAGGTGGGAAATACCAGACAAGTGGACTCAGACCACTGTCTGTACAGTACACGGCTACACACATATCTACAATTCCCGTCTCCGCACAACTGACAGTAATCACACACTGAATGGGGGGAATTGAAATTGACGCCAAGTCCAGGACGATAGGAATGGCTTTAACGCCTTCAATGCAGCCATATGTCCAGCAGGTGGCGGTGCTGCACTATAATCTCACTCGATGTACACAGTACAACACCGCCTCCCTTTGGCTGATAGCGGCATTGCTGCTCCAAGAAAATTCACTTCAGAAAAATTACTTTTACAACTTCCACAGACAACCTATGTGTATTTATCCTTCCTTCACGTATGATCGCGACTCGGTGCTGTACCTCAGTGTTGTTTTATAATTGACGAATACATTTTCATTCTTTTTCACTATCAAAATGACAGAGAGCTGCGAACACTCAGCAGGTCAGGCAGCCTCTGTGCAGAAAGGGAATTGAGTCAAAGTTTGGGGTCCAGGACACTGAGTCAGAACCGTTGACTCACTATCCTTTCTCCATAGATGCTGCCTGACCGCCTGAGGTTTCTCCGCTCTACCTGTTTTTGTTTCAGATTCCAGCTTCTGCAGTGCTTTTTGTTTTGTTCATTCGATTTCATGTGTTTATTTAAGTAAGCAGTTTCCCCACTGAATCTCATTACATTAACTTGTAACTCCTGAAGGCTGTCATGTATTTCAGTCACATAATCATTTACTGTAGATGAGTCGGTGTTCAAATTAAAAATTATTAGCTGCAGATGGCGTTGCGCTGTGTAACGTCCCACAATGTCCTCAGTGTCCTTCCTTCCTTGACTGGAGGTGAAGAGAGTCTCACTGGAGCTCATCTGCAGTTGGGCCACAGAATGTCAGAATCAGTCAGCCCTCCGTGACGGTCTCTAGTCCGGTTACTGACCCAGGAGGGGCCGCAGTATTCCAGGGCACTCACTGCTGATGACAGCATAGCTCGGCCTGGCTCATCGGCCGGACCTGTAAGGACAGACCAGTCATGTGGGGGAAGGGTATTATCCCATTCAGCACCTGTCAACCATGCAAACCAAAGCCGTAATTGGTAATGTGGTCCTACGAGTGGGAAAGGCTCACGCTCCGCTTCTCATGCCTCCCCTCGCACATGCACAGCTCACCCTTATCATCTGATCAGCCTTCGCACACATCTTCTCTGTCTGACTGTTCCCTGCATCTATCTGTAAGCGCGTCTCTCTGGGTAAGGATGGGGAAGGTCGGGGTGTGGTTCCAGACAGCAAGGGTTTCGGTGTGGGTGAGGATGAGGCGGAGGTGGATTTAGGAAAGGGTGGTGAATGGCTGAGTGTGTCTGAGGTTGGGTACGTTCTTGGTGTAGGTGAGTGTGGGGTGCGGTTAGGTAAGGGTGAGGTTGGGGATCGGCTGGGTATAAGTGAGGGTGGTGGGAGGGCGGTGTGTGTGAGATTGGAGAGGGGCTGTTTGTGTGAGGGTGCGGAACATCTGGGTGGTGACGGTGGTGGGGGTGTCAGGTTATGGCTGAGGATAGGAAGATCTGTGCGTGAGAGTGAGGAGGGGCGTGTGGGTTATTTTGTGGAGGGGTTTGGTGTCTGTGAGGATGTGGAGAGGCTGGATATGTAAGGGTGGGGCGGGGATTGGTGTAAGTGACGGTGGGGAGGTACTGGGTGTGGGTAAGAGAGGGTAGGGAGTTGGTGTGGGTAAGTGTGGA